GAAGCTATAGATAGATACACAGAGAATGTTTTCTATGCACCTCCCGCTTAAAATTAGTGTGAGCGATTGAGATTTTTAGGCTGGGGGATGAAAGTGGCCCAGTACGCTGGTAGTTTCAGAGGAATATCAAGGAGAAATGATTGAAATGAGGAGATATTTTGACCCTTCTGTATTTTTTATATTCGAGCAAAAGTTTGTTCAACGCAGATGCTGTATGAGTCGTGTCTTATGGAAAGTTGCTCTCTACACGTGTATAGATCATCAAAAATCGTTATCGGACGGGTTCTCGTGGCGGTAGACTGTGATTGAACAAAAGCGTATTTATCGTGAGATTATCGTCGGTGTTGGAGGTACATAGCTGTCCATGTGGCACTTGAACATTGAAGTCTGACACTTAGACTCATCATTTTTCATGATGAAATTGTGAATCATTGAGGGTGTTTGTTGCACAGTTACAATTGGGTTACGGTATAGGTGTACAATGAGTGTCAACACAACTGTTTGTTGAAGAACAGGTGTTCATCAGTGTATTTCCAAATAGTGCATTGTTCCAGTCTTATTTGCATAATTTTCAATTGATATTATAAACATGACAGCCACATGAAATCGTTCTGAAATATGCATTGCATGAAATTTTTACTTTGTCATGATAGGTACCTTCTTTATAACCTAGTGCTTTCATAGATGGGATGTTTAACATTTGATTCACATCCATTATAACTCGCCATCTTTGGAATTTATAATCTCTATAGCTTAGAATGGCACGTTTAGCGCAGTGGCCGGAGGCGCCCTGCGACACACATGGGATCGACCGCCGCGCGTGTAGCTCACCAAGTCTCCCCTCACTCCAGATTCGGAAAATTGATGCTAGACTTGTCTTGGAGGATAATAGCACTGTCTCGATACATCGGCAGGCCACTGCGAGCCATTGTAAAAGCCATATGTGAATTCAGTCATCTCCAACGATGTTCAGTGAAGTCGAATGCATGGCGCATCGGAGCATTATCTGCATGTAGTTTACACTAACGCCAAACTTTAGTGCCTCCTGTCACGAGGTTTCAAGGACGACATGAGTGTGCTCCAGAGCGCATCGTTAGTGATTCTGGATGCCGTTAAGCTTCTTTATTTTTAATTTTAACTTTTTGCCTGTTTCTTTGTTTTTAAAATTTTGAAATTTCGAAGTCACTGGCAGTTTTTTGAAGGTTTGATTTCTACGCAAAACTTAAAGCGAAGACGACGTTTTGTAAACGTTGTACATACCATTGTAAATATGACNAGTGCTTTCATAGATGGGATGTTTAACATTTGATTCACATCCATTATAACTCGCAATCTTTGGAATTTATAATCTCTATAGCTTAGAATGGCACGTTTAGCGCAGTGGCCGGAGGCGCCCTGCGACACACATGGGATCGACCGCCGCGCGTGTAGCTCACCAAGTCTCCCCTCACTCCAGATTCGGAAAATTGATGCTAGACTTGTCTTGGAGGATAATAGCACTGTCTCGATACATCGGCAGGCCACTGCGAGCCATTGTAAAAGCCATATGTGAATTCAGTCATCTCCAACGATGTTCAGTGAAGTCGAATGCATGGCGCATCGGAGCATTATCTGCATGTAGTTTACACTAACGCCAAACTTTAGTGCCTCCTGTCACGAGGTTTCAAGGACGACATGAGTGTGCTCCAGAGCGCATCGTTAGTGATTCTGGATGCCGTTAAGCTTCTTTATTTTTAATTTTAACTTTTTGCCTGTTTCTTTGTTTTTAAAATTTTGAAATTTCGAAGTCACTGGCAGTTTTTTGAAGGTTTGATTTCTACGCAAAACTTAAAGCGAAGACGACGTTTTGTAAACGTTGTACATACCATTGTAAATATGACTTTCATTTAACCTCGATATAAATGAGCAATGTGCTATATTGCATTGATAAGCTAACACGAGCTTGCGACCACATATTTATTGGTCTAACGTTCCGACGTCTTCGTGTTCCGCAGAGCCGAAGATCCAAGTCGATGGTCCGCAGTCGATTACATATTTTAGCGTTAGAACGAAGTCAGTTGTAAAGGTCTGTCAAATTTTATACTCTTCAAGTATTTTAGTTGTTGAACAGTTATCTGCAGTTATCGAAAAACTCGTGTCATAACCTGTGTCTAACACACATGCCAGTTAATTTTACCTAGTAATTACTTGTTTTTTCATTTACAGTCACTACGATGAATCATGGTTATATTGTTGAATGACCACCGACATATTGTTTTTACATACATACACATATATATACATATACATATATTGTGAAAGCGGATAGGAATATGGGGGTATATATATATGGGGCGGATAGCACAGTGGTAGTGATGTCGGTCATCATGAGCATGGTGCTAGTTTGATTCCGCTCCAGACCAACCAAGCCTCTCATCCCTCCGGGGTCGTGGAATTTGTACCGGACTTGTCCGGGAAAAATCACTCTCAGCACAGTTGGGAACGCTAAAGCCCAGCTATCTCAGGACTCCAGGGAGAATTGCTCGACCAGCATTCTACGACTTTCAAGATGAAATGGAAATCGTCAAGCAGCAACCGAGGCCACACGTAAAGGTTAGAATATCTTCGTCAGTGATGGATGCAAAGAAACGAAGTGGATTTGAGAACTGCTGGGATCGGCACAGTCAAATAACGGGTCAGTCATAGTCAGACGAGTCAAATAAAAAAATGAAAATAACATTGTGAAAGCAAATGCTAACAGCACTGGAGTTGACTGAGTTCTAGAACAGCAAGCAATGATTCGAAAGGTTTCAAAACATGGAAGAATGTAAAGAGGAACTTAAAGAATACTAAAAAGAGAAAAGTCCAAATTGCTCGAAAAATAGAAAAAAGCAGAGCTGGAGAGCAAAGACTGCAATAAAAGGAGCAAAAGAGCAGAATAGTAGGAGCGTCATTTGCTATGAACATGAATGGGTCGACATGAGTTGAATTTGTCTTTCAAACAGCACTTTATAGAATAAGAAAAAGAGTAACCCATTGGGTTCTCCTCGCTTTAAGGACTCGTCGAACATCATATCTTTAGCATTTTCGTAAAGAACTCTTATCCTCAGGTCGGTGTTCTTCCTGCTGTGCGTTTGACACCTCGAGGAATCCAGTCACTAACGGCTCTTGTCTGTCGGTTTTTGTTCATACGCAATGTGTGTCTAGTCCACCTTATCTCCGGCAGTTTGGCTTAGAGAACGCCATCCTTGATTTTTGATCGTTAGCGTATGTCGGAGCTTCGGATTCTCTCCCTCACCTGTGTAACACGGGATACTCTTAGTATCATCCTTTCGACAGCGTTTTCAATAACGTTGAATGACCCTTCAACCTGCTTACGCAGCGATCGGCTTTCTGGCGCATAGGGTTAAGGCAGGAGAAATCATTGAGTGGAGGTCGCGGAATCGGACACTGTTGGTTATCCTGAGTATATCCTCGATGCTCTTGAAAGTTCTTTAAGCCGCTCGTTTCCTTCTGCTCAACTCTGGAGCTAAGTCGTTGATTCATCATGATGATTTTCCGAACTAGGTAGATGCAACTGGAGCACTCAGAGATATTTACGTGAATGGGACATACGAAACCAATCCGATCCCAATGAACACTCTTTTTTGGATTTAGTCAAAGACCGCTCTTTCCACAGGCATTATCAAAGTCGACAATCATTCTTTCCACTTGGCTAATGTTTGATGTTATAAAAACGATGTCATCAACAAAGCGAAGATGGTGTAATTGCCAACTGTCGTTTTTCACTCCAATATTGTCCCATTACAATGTTCGCATTACGTTATAGAGGGTGGAGGGCAATAATTTTGGCGAGATGATATCGCCTTGCCTAAGCCCTCTTTTGACATCGATGTTAACATCGTTGTAGAACGGTGATATTTGGTTGTGAAATTTTCATACAGCTCGCTAAGAATCTTCATATACTGAGTAGGAATTCCCTGACTGTCCAGGGCTTGCATGACTGTTTCTATCTCAATTGAGTCAGAGGCTTTCTTTAAATCGATGAAAGTGAGATAGAACGGCGTTTTGTACTCTCGTGACACTTCGATGAGTCCTGTTATCGTGTGGATGTTGTCCATGGTACTGAATCCTTTTCGAAACCCTACTTGCTCACATGGCTGTCCTTCGTACAGTGCTCTGCCAATCCTGTTTGGGATGACTCGAGTGAAAAGTTTGTAGATGACAGACAACAAGCAGATCGGGCGATAGTCGTCGGTATCGTGTAGGTCATCCTTCTTGAATAATAACACGGTCTTGCTGGCCTTCCATTGACGCGTTGGCGTTGGGCGTTGTATTAAAACAGGTAACGTGTGGAAAGCCGAGCCAGGGTGTCTACGAGGACTTGGCGATAGGTTCTTCATGTGTTCAGATTCCATTCTAAGCGGCTTTGGTGATGGCAGACGTTTCTTGGTGACTTTCAAACTTTAAGCTTGCATAGTGCTAACTTGTTTAATGAGCCGACGGTGTTCTTCGTCGATGTTATCGAGAACGGCATCTTCCCAACAACCGACTAATGAACTGAATAAGCCGTAGTTTATGGTAGTTATGGGATTTCGTTTCTTGAACTTAGTGGCTTCCTCACCTTTGCGTGAGAAATGAAACCTTGCAATAAAGAAGCGATGACGGTAGATTTTTGGGAGATCAACGGAATCGGTTAAGAAAAACCTTCGCTTTACTATGATGTAGTCTATTTCATTATGGCACTCTCCATTGGGATATGCCCAGGCCCGACGTTGAGAGTGGGATTCTGGAATTACGAGTTTCATGTGAATGGTTTTGGCCGTCATGACAAACTCAGACAGCAGCTCATCCTGCTCGCTCCGTTCTAGTCTGTGCGCCCCAATGTAACGTTCTTCACACGTTTTTCTAATTCCACTCTTAGCGCTAAAATCTCCAATAATAATTAGGAACGAATAACGTAGTCATAATCTTCTATGTAGAACTTGTTCAAGTCCTTAGAGGACGCTTCGATTTCCTTCTCACCATAGTTTGATGTCCGGCGCGCAAACGAAGACGATTGTCAAAGCCGCTATTGCTCCACATCTCTTCAATCGTAAACGTCCGATTGGGGTTGTCAGTTGTTCGAATGAATCGATGCTCACGGACAAACTCGTGTTGACGTGAACGCTGCTGACTCCTCTACTGTCGCATGCTTCGAGGAACTGTTCTTCTCCTGTGTAATAGAAGGCGTAGTCTGTCTCGGCCAGTCCAATAATGTCGTACCTTATCTTTCGTGCTTGCATGATCAAGTCTTCTATCTGGGATTCAAGTACAAGCGTGCTTGAATTATAGGTACAGATCGTCGCCTTAGTTATTCGAGATTTAGGCAGCATAGAATGACCCTGAGATTTTAGCAGCCCTGCCGTATCGGGGGTTCTTTCAGGGTCTAGAGAATGAGGTCCTTTTATATCACTGCATTTAGCTTTTTGATAACCTCGTATAGCTTGCTGAGCTCTAGACGTGGGGGATGGGTATAATCACAGGTAGTTTGCCAATCTCTCCCTGAGTAGACGGGGAACCTGTTTGTTGGAAGCGACTTCTAACCAACTTCCATATATTTTCCTGTTACTTGATTGCAGTCCCTTGGCCAAATTGACGCGTAGAATACAGTCCGCTTAAACGGGAACCCATCCGCGTACGCATACATAAGTCCTCGTACTCGCGTGATTTCTCGTAAAATAGAAGGTGTCAGCCAAATCGGCGCAGCAGAAAAAGCGAGTTCATCAAACGTCGCTTTTGGTCCGTAATTCACCCACTTATCACCCACCTGGAGAAGACGCCACATTGCTTCGCGACAAACCAGCATGAGATCCCTCTATGAGGGAGATTTGTGGATTTCGGTATGAATAATCAATGCGCTTTGTTTCATGGATAAGCTAAAACGAGATTGTTACCAACCGTTTATTTGTCAAGGCTGACTTTCTGTTAAGCTCGGCATTGATCATGTAGTTCACTGTTTTCTTTATGAGCAAACACAGGGTTGTTAGTTTATTCCTTATTTACAAAAAGGTTATATTACAGCCGATTTCGCCTCCCTACGAGCTTGAAAGGTCAAGTTCCATAAGAAAAACAGAAAAGTTTCGAAACCAAGGTTTTGATTGCATTGCAAACAAAACAGCTTCTTCGCACACTCATCGCTTTCCGGTATGTAAGCCATTCTCGAATTTCTTATGCAGCTCAAAGCAGTAAATATCTATAGCAATCGATAACCCTCTTAAAGAAGTGCCTAGTCTGTTCAATACTTAGATAGTTCGGGAATTGTTTCCCACAAAAGAGAGGCTTGGCAGAGGGACAGCGACTGGCAGCAAGCCTTGCTATTGTCTTTGTCTAAGGTGGAAGTTCCAGTAATCGATTTACTGCCATTACTCTACTGCAGATATATAGATGATTGCTTTGTTATTGGTTCCATACAAGAGGAGATGGACAAATGTTTTGAGTTATTGAATGAACAGTCAGAATAGGTTAAGTTTAGCCGAGAAGAACCAAAACGAATCTTGTTTCCATTTCTGAACGTTCAGATTACTCTATCAGAAAATTACCTCTCCTCTCACCCCTTAAAAAGAGTATTTATAAGAAACATGTTCCGAACAGCAACCAATGTGTGCACAGCATGGGAGCACAAGGATGAATCCCTAAACCTAGAGCGGAGAAACCATCTCCAATGGTTATGAAACTGTAGCTCCTTTACAAGAGTGCTCAGGAAAACCCAAGCCCCTAAACGATAACTCTAACAATAATGAGGTCTCGTTTATCCTGCTCTTCATTTCCAACGAAATAAATGCAGCTGTACAACGTTGCTTAAGAAGGACCAGTTCAGAGAAACCGGTAGCAATGATAGGAAAACCGAGTACTTTAAGACGTCAGCTCTTTCACAACCGCCTATATGAGCGTCTATGCACAACGCAAAATTCCATAATATGCTCTAACGGTTGAGACGCTGATTGCATGAGTTCGGGTACGGTTTATCCGATCTATTGTAAAGCGTGCGCGGACGAAACCTAGTCGCTTAACTTAAAGTTGAACCGAATATTCCACTAGACGCGCATAGGACACAGAGACAAAACTAAGAAGCTCTAAACGGCTCTGAAGAAGGCGAAACCGCCGAAACGTCAGCAATTGTGTTCTAATAAATTCTATATTAACAACCTCGTGTCTGCTTATTGATGAAAAACATTGAATTATCAATTAATGCCGAGGTTAACAGAAAGTCGGTCATGGGAAAACTAAGAAGATTTTGAAGTAGAAGTTATCGACCTCTCATAGAAATCGAAAACTTCACTTCCAAGAATCTGAAAATGAACCACAGGGAGGAATACCTCGTAATTACGCGGGATCTAACACAGTATTTAAGAGAGGTTGTGATGTGAGAGGCTCACTACGCTTCCATGTGGACCCTGTTCGATTAGTCTCCACGTGAAATGCTCAGTGGACGACTCATAGAAAGCAGTGAATGTGCGAAGAAGCTGCTCTGTTTTCGATGCGAATAAAATCTTGGTTTCCCGAATTCATTTTTTTAGTTATGGCGGTGCTTGACTGATCATATTATGGTCAACTTGACCTTTCCAGACACCGAAGAAGGCGAAATCCTCTGAAACGTTAGCTTTTTGTAAATAAAGAATGAATTAACAGAAACCTCCCATCAAGAAAACATCAAGTGTTTGCCCATCAAGAAAACATTGAATTACTCGGCTAGTTTTGACGTCTTTGTCCTCATCGGAGTCGATGATCCGAGTCGATGGTCCACAGCCACTCGTCCTCTTAATATGGCGCTTTCGTCTTCGTATCCAGTCGAATCTTCTTCAGTGAAGCACAGCTCGTATGAACTAACCTCACTCGACGATGCTCTTTTATATAAAATGGCTGTTGAAACTGACTGCTCGTTGATAACAAAATGTTTTCAACGGACAATCCTTCCTGCACCAGTCGTTATTAGATAGACTTCCATATGGAGAAGTAATGCTGTCATAACTGAAGGAACTGCAACCACTAATTGTCGGATCATCGATTTTGAAGCGAATAAAGGTTGGCCGAATAAATATTTGGTGACAATCTCGTGTTAGCTTATCAATGAGAGAAAGTCTATTGATTATTCACACCAAGGTTGAACTAAGGTCGATTTACAACAGTATTTATTACTATTTTTGATAGCGACATCTGTTGGTCCGTCTTCACTCATTGTGCGGATCCCAGCATAATTTCCACTCCCCAGAGATTAACCGGCTTACTTACTCCACCCACGGAGCCCCCAGGTCAGCCTAACCGAAACCTCCTCAAGTCGTCACCATTCTAGTCAGTCGCCGCCCGCATGGATCGGAGGGAAATTTGCCACCATGCGAAGATGTTGATGCCAAGACGGTGATGATTCTTGCCAATGGGAGGATTCATTTCTGCACTAATTATTATTACTGACATTATTTTTGTTACCAATATATCACAATTAGTGTAAATGATTATAATATCTATTATTGACGTATTATTATGTGTGCACTTTATAGTTAATAAACATGATATAGTGGTGATGGAAGCACACAGCTACGATCTAATTAAAAAAGCATTAATGTAAAGTGAGTATAAATAGCTAGTAGGGCGAAGTTCGATTAATCTACTAGGTGGAGATAACGTTTAATAATCCACTCAGTGTCTTTGTTCAACTCCTATTTGGTCTAACTAAGCCATCATCCTTCAAGTGTTGGCAATGTGGTAGCAGCCTTGCCTGGGAAAAGATCCCTCCCATCTACAAAGGGTGGCGACTGCCTGTGGTGAAGGCCTAAAAACGCACCAACACGGCTATTCTAGGGTTTCGAGTAGAATCGACTTGACCAGCGCCTAAATACATTTAGCAATAAAACGGTTTTTTAGTAATAATTAAACCACTTGGAATTTGAAGGTCTTCGGAATAATGTACATGAGGAAACGAACTGAATGAAGGAAATACTAGAATTTCAAATAAATAATGTTGAGTTAGGCAAAAGGAATTTTAAAGCGTCTTCACATTCCACTGATGCCATATTCCATCGTACCCGAACATATTAATAAAAAAAAAGATAAAGCCCTCGGCGCTCATCAGTCGCTAAGGAATGCGCCATGCATTCGCCTTCATTAAACATCGTTGGAGGTGATTGAATGCATATCTGGCCTTTACAATGACTTGCGGTGGCCTAACGATGCATCGAGCCAGTGCTGCTATCCTCTCAGATAAATCTGGTGCTAATTTCCCGACCCCGGAAGATGGAAGGCTTGGTGGACGCTCGGCACGGGTTCGATCCCACATGTATTAGAGGGCGCCTCCGATCACTGCGCCTCAAATATATTAACAGATTAAAATACTCACATAATCACAATCTGTAATTCATAGAACATCATACGTACACTTTCTACAACTGGCTCGTCATTATTGGAATATCACCTGTATCACCTGTCTTCCCGTTGATCGTCGAGTGACTCGAGCGAGCGCCAGTAAACCTTCCATTTTCTCCTGTCGCGTGCAAGTGAAGCCCAGTGGGTTTTGCTCGCTCTAAGGACTCGTCGAGCATCATATCTTTCTTCTAGGCTCCTTGTGAAGAACTCTGACCATCGAGTCGGTGGTCTTCCTGCAGTATACTTGGCATCCCAAGGAATCCAATCACTACCAGCTCTTGTCCATCGGTTGTCATTCATACGCATTACGTGTCCGGCCCAACTTATCTTCCACTGTTTGGCGTACAGAGCGGCATCTTTGATTTTTGATCGTTGATGCAGGTCGGAGCTTCCGATCCCATCCCTTATTTGTGTGGAACGGGATACTCCTAACATCGTCCTTTCGACTGAGCGTTCGGTAACGCTGAATGATCTTCCATCCGGCTCACGCAGCGACCAGGTTTCTGACGCATACGTTAGGGCAGGAAGTACCGTTGAGTTGAAAAGGTGGGCACGAAGTCGGGTGTTCTTTCTTCTCTTCACTACATCCTCGATGCTCTTGAAAGCTCCCCAAGCCGCTCGTTTTCTTCTGCTCAGCTCAGGAGCTAAGTCGTTCATCATATTGATATCCTGACCTAGACAGATGTAACTGGAGCATTCGGAGATATTCGTTCCGTTGAGCGTGAATGGGGCATGCAAAACCAATCCGTTCTTCATGAACATCGTTCTTGTGAGATTTAGTCGAAGACCAATCTTTCCACAGCCTTTATCAAAAGTCGTCAAGCATAAGTTCCGCTTGGCTAATGTTTGGTGTTATAAGGACGATGTCATCAGCAAAGCGGAGATGGTGTAACTGCCGACCATCGATTTTCACTCCCGTATTATCCCATTCCAATGTTCACGTGACGTTCTGGAGGGTGGCGGTAAATTTTGGCGAGATGGTATCGCCTTGCCTAACTCCTCTTTTGACGTCAATGTTAGTATCGTTGTAGAATGGTGACACCTTGGTTGTGAAATTTTTGTACAGCTCACGAAGAATCTTTATGTACTGAGTAGGGACTCCTTGACTATCAAGGGATTCCAAGACTGCTTCTATCTCAGCTGAATCAAAGGCCTTCTGTAAATCGATGAAAATGAGATAGAGCGGTCTTTTGTACTCTCGCGATACTTCAATGAGCCTTCTTACCGTGTGGATGTGGTCCATCGTACTAAATCCCTTTCGAAAACCTGCTTGCTCACATGGCTCTCCTTCGTCTAGCGCTCTGTCAATCCTGTTTAGGACGACTCAAGTGAAAAGTTTGTAGGCGACAGACAGTAAGCAAATTGGGCGGTAGTTGCCGACATCGTGTAGGTCACCCTTCTTGAACAATAACACGGTCTTGCTGGTCT